TCAAATTTTGCAGATCGCTGCATGCCCGATTGTTCGATTGCAATCGATTGTACGTGATTGTGCGTGATTGTATGTAACTGTGTGCGATTGTACGATTTATTTGTAAATGTATAGCAAAAATTATATAAAAAATTCCTTTTTTTCTTATTTTGATAAAATTTATGGATTAACTTATAGGTACTTGTTACCAGTGCGCGAAATGTCTTTATTGCAAAAAAGATTCTTTAAAATTTTCATGCAAATGTGATAAAAACATATTACCTTCAACATGAAATCATACAAAATTAGTTCCATATGCTTTTACAATTCATTTTAATAAAAAATTTAATGATAAACAAATTGAGAGCCTAGAAAATTCAAAGAAAAAATATAATTATAATACGGAGTTCACTAAAGATTTCAAATTTGCATTTTGCTCCACGTGTAATAGCAAATGGTATCGCATTGGTAAAACTAAATCGACAAAATCGACTAAATCAACAAAATCAAAGTCAACAAAATCTATAAGTTCTACTGCTACTGCTTCTGAATGTACAACTTCTGAAACTAATCATATTACCGACGTATCCAAGACCGACAAACTTATTGATAATCATACAAATTTTAATGCTAATAAGTATAATATCAACATAACCAACATATCTAAGACCAACAAGCTTGATAATCATACAACTACTAATACAAATAAGCATATTACTGACATATCTGAGATCGATGAGCTTGATGACTATACCGTTTTTGACCCTGATTCACCAGAATGCAATGAACTAGAAGATTTTTTACATGAAGAAATCGAAGAATCCGATTTGGAGAATGATAATTTCAGAAGACAGCTAGATGAGTTAGATGAGTTAGATAACAATAATAATAAAGGCAATGAATTTTTGCTTAAATTGTGCATTAAAAATCAAGATAATACCACATTACCTGCCAAATGATTAAATATTTCAGCAGATTCTTGTGGCGAATTCCATTATCTAATTCTTTCGGATATTCAATTTCAACTAAATAATACTGCTATAACTCAAAACGATTATGTATTATCATATAAAGTAACAAAAGAAACTGGGGTGGGAACTCAAATTATTAATGAGAGCAATTTTAGAAGTTTTATTGACGATTATAATCAGGCTACAAATAAAAAAAAAGAAGTGTTTATTAATATCCAAATGCAAAATAATTCTTCAAAAAGTAATACAAAAAAATGATTACATAGAGCGGTATATAATTTTATCGTTATTATAATTTTTTTTTTTTTTTATTAATTCATTAATTATTTAATTATTTAGAAACCTGAAGAACCCAATAGTAATGACAATTCAAATAAAAAAAAACCATGATTATTTAGTAAAAAGCCTAAAGAATCTCATCTTGATGATGATAAACGTATTATGGCATCTACTATTTCTCAACTTCGAGAAAAATATTTTTGTGCTAATTGCGAAGGTTCTTGTTGGATTACTAAAACTGGTCACATTAAATTAACAGGCATGCATTTTACTACTTGGGCTTGAGCAATCGTAAGAATTATTTTTTTTATATTATTTATTTATTATCGCAGTTTGCATATTGATGTAACTTTGATATATGATCACCTGAATAATGTTCGCTTGTGCGATTGTACAATGATTTTTAGTGAGAATATATATAGCAGACAAATTTTATGAAATAATATACTTATATTAATCTTTGGCAAAAAAACTCACATTATAATCACGCAATCGGAAAACTTGTATGGGGACTACAAATAGATAGAGTTGGGATCCTTTGAATACCCATCACGGCTATTTATTGAATATTCACGAATTTTAGTAATTCGCGAATAATAACGAATAAATATACTCATTTTACATAGAGAATTCACAGATATTCAGAGATTTCGCAAATATTCATATAGATTTGCAGATATTTAGAGAATTCGCAGATATTCTCATATACCAGGAACGTAGTGAATATTTTCATATAATATTCACACACAGATATTTGTATGAATATTCACATAGGTTATTCTCACATAGATCATTACACAATATTCATATAGATTATTCACACAAAATATTCTCGATTATTCCCGGATTTGTGTAGCAGAATATTGACATGCTAATTGAATATTCATTTTATCCGTGAATATTCACAGATCCCAACTCTACAAATAGATAAATGGATTAGCGGATATTGACACACCACCCAGTCATGCGATATTTACATCTCCACCTAAAATTAGAGGAATATCCAATTCAAATCAACTTTCATTACAACCATTGCAACAATTAGTTTCGCAACAACCATTACAATTATCCTCGCAAATACCCTCACAAATACCCTTACAAATATCTTTACAAATATCCTCACAAGTATCCTCACAACTATCCACGCCAATGCTCTTACAAATGCACTCAAAAACTTTCTTGCAAATGCTATTGCAAATGCCCTTGCAAATGCCCTCACAAATGCTCTCTCAAATGCCCTCACAAATGCCTCACAAATGCCATCGCAAATGTCTTTACAAATATCTTCACAGCTATCTTCACAAATGCCAACAAATTTTTCATTACAACCACCTACCAATTTTTTTTCGCATTACTCTAATATTCCATTACAAACATTACCAAATATTTCTTTATATATGCCATCAAATTTTTCTCCACAATTATCACCTTATATCTCTTCGCAACCTTATTATATACCATTTCCAATTTTGCCTAATTTATCACAAGGATCATTATCGACTTCGTCAAAATGTATTCTCGAACTTGAAGAATTTTTGACAAAAATAGATAAAGCTGAAAATGCGGATGGAGAAATTTTAGCATGTTTATTAGAGTTTCAAAATCAAGCTATCCAAGTTAAGCGAATATGTAAATTAACTGATAAACAATTTAAATCAATAGGAATTACAAAAACCGGATGGAAAATTGTATTACGAGAGGCTTCTAATGAGTATAGCCAATAAATCTTAGGAGAATTTATGTATAAGGATGCAGAAAATGAGAATAATTATATGTGAGACTGAAGTGAAAATATTTATATCTAAGAACCCAAATTTTGAAAAATATTACAATCAAGGATCAAATTTACCGTAATAATTATACTTGGTATTAAGTTTGTTACATTTAAAATTATATAAAGTAACTTACTTTTTAATCAGTATTACATTTATTTTCTTAGAGTCTTGTATGTAAAAATTGTAATTACTTTGCAATTTGGAACTGAATAAACATTACAATATTGATAAATATCATACTTAGCCTAGTCAAAGTGCATTTCAATTACGAAAACATTTCATTAAGTGAAAGAATTGGGTATAAAATATATAATGTAATACATATATGCTGTGATGCTCAAAGAACTACTATTATCATAACGAAAAGATATTTGGCCCTTAATTAAAAAAATTTTCAAACTTTGGGCCCTTAGATGTAGTTATTTTCACTTTGATTGTGGTTTGATATCTCTTCAAATTTGTAGATCGCTGATTGCATATTGTGAGGTTCATTTTTTGGCCAAAGATTCACTACAAATATATTATTTTATAGTATTTGTTAGCCATATCTGTTCTTACTAAAAAAATCATTGTACAATCTCACAATCGACTACAATCAGGTGATTGCTCAGGTGATTGCTCAGGTGATTGTAAGGTGGGCTGCGATCTACAAAATTGATCAAAGATTCATCAATTTGCAAATTTAGAAATTTCACAAAAAATTGTAGAACTCAATATAATTATAGTTAGAGGAAAATTGGAAATTAAAAACATCAAAAACATACATATTTTTAAGTAACAATCATCTAACAATATTATGTTTGTTGGCTACAGTTTTGATTTGAGTCAGACAGATACATAAGTGAAGAGTAATTTTATAAATTTAGATTTAACTCTCATATACTCAAATCCATCAATACTAATAAATATAAATTTTTACTTATGATTATCAAAGGTTGTAATTATACCACGTGATCACGACTCTTTGAACTCTACAAGCAATTTATGATCTACAAATAATTCACCCTCAAGAACTTATTCAACGAGAGTTACATAGTGATGATATTTTACAAAATAATTTATATAGTGCGTATATTACAGATTTAGGACTTCTAATATCAACAAGCATAGAATTAAAGGTAGGACGTCGTGGAATTTGTGAAATTTATCATATATAGCACTGAAAATTTTAAATGGTGTAACTACCTGTTGGATATAAATGGTTTGGCTTGTATTAAAATCCAACAATAGTTAACAAAATTTAAGATAAGTATATGTGTAGATTCAAGGACTTGTGTTAGAATTAGAATAGAATCTTTATGTATTTAATTTTATTAGGATCGATTTATGATTATTAAAAGGGCGTTAACAAAAATTTATAAGGCAACAACATTTGACGTATATTGAATTTGGGTCTTTATTAAGATAAGTAAAATATAGAAAATGCGATTATACTAATAATACTAACTGAGACTAACCCTATACTATTGGTATTATTTAGATATATTAACATGAAAATCATTAAAGGGAAGTTGTTTTCTAACCTAAGGTAGTTCCACCTCCTTTACCTTGATAGTTCGAAACTTTTACCTGGTAGTTTCTAACTATTCATCCGTTAGTTTCTAACTTTTATACATTAGTTACTAACTTTTTATATTCTTTACTTTAGTTATTAATTCTTCTACCAGTTATTATCCAACTCTAATAGTTCAAAACTATCGGTAAACCCAATTTTGAAACTCTCATTCGATGTGGCTTACGTTTCCGTATCACAGAAAAAATGGAAATTTTTATCAAAAAGTATTGCACATATGTGATAAATTTATTATTACTAATTGGAAGCATCTGGCCAATAGTGCCAGATATTAACTTTATTCAATGATTTTTATTTGAGATATGCAGCATACATCGGTGCGATCGATGTACAGACTGAGACGGGACATGCTCCCAGAAATAGCAACCATGATTGCGCCGTCATCAGCTGAATTGTGATGTGTAGTGTTAGTCGGTGGTCTCCCGCACTGCACTAACGCAGGCCGACTTTATATGAAGTTTTGAAGATACCACGCAAAATGGCGTGGGTTTGGGTGTGAATTTCACCTCTTGTCTATGGTGAGGTGCCATTTTTTCTGTCTGTGGCGGCCAGTCTTTATATCCGGCCTGGCAATGGATTATTTTAGTAATTATTTACTTAATAATTCCAAATTGAGCAGGTAATTAAATTATACTTATCTGAATGCATGTGCTTTCTCATGCAACATTATCTTATCTGCCTACTCGATTTGGTCAAATTTAACTTAATACCTGTCTGAGTCTGGTAGCCTGAGCTTCACGACCCAGCTGGAATATTCTTTCTTAGCCGCTATTATGCCTGTCAATATTAATGCAGGTAAAATGGTGTACCTTTTATCTCGAATAAAAACTGTTTTTTTATATGCCTGATTATGAATAGTAGAGTATCCATGAGTTCTAGTACAAGTGCGCTCATCTTTCAATGATTCATCAAGAAAAATAAGTTGCACGGGCTTATAATGATCTGCAATATGTGCTATGAATGCAGATCTAAGAAGTTCATTTCTTTCCGTAGCAGCTTTGTGCAACTATAAATTTAATAAATTTATGTAAATAGCAAAATTACGTCGCAAAACATGTGATAACTAATCCTTGATCTAATTACTCAGTACTGCATCGCCTTCAAAAAAAGTATGGCATATGATATTTTTGCAATCACATTTCAAGTTTAGATGTAACATAACAATTAGAAAAATTTAAAACGTTTATTTTGCCAAAAAAATCATTTGTAATTCAAAAGTTAGAATAGGAAACCACCTTTAATGCCCCAACAAAAGTTTTTTTTTGCGCAATTTTACTATCTGCCTTGCTAATATCTAACCTCAACACAAACGCTAACCCTAACTTAAAGAGCTTGAAGATCTTTTGGTACGGCGAACATAAAATCATGTGATCATATTTTTTTGAAGGCGATACTGGAAATATTCTTCGATTCTACCATATGATCGTTTACGTGACCAATAATTTTTTATTCTAGTGCTAGAGTAAAAAAATTATCAATCACATAAGTGATATACCTACTTTTTTTCAGGTAATGTTACATCGTTTTAAGTAACGATATATTGTTGAAATTGATACCCATTTTCCAGTTATTATGCCTATTTCGTATTGTAACTCATCAAGATACAGATCGACCTTGTTTTTAACTATTTTTTTTAAAATCTAAAAAATAAAAACTATATTTAATATATTTTATATAATTTCTATTTGTAATTGAATAGATAAATTTACCTTTATATCATTATTATTAAACGATCTTTTTCGACCCGAAGCTTCCTTAAGTGGATGTTTTATTTGGTGATATTTGTTATATATACTAAGTATGTTTTTTACTAAAGTTTCACTTATATATAAAAGTTTTGCGATTTCCTGTTTACTATAGCCATCATGAGTGAGAAAAACTATGCGTGATTTTAAATCATTGCTGTAAGTCATTTTTGAAATTTTAATTTGTATAAATTTTCGAAAAATGAGCCTTAATCATTCAAAGTACGTACGAACTAAAGCCTAATTGAACTTTATTTTTACATACATTTATAAAAAAAAATTATACAATCGTTACAATCGCACACAATTACATACAATCACGCACAATCACGTACAATCGATTGCAATCGAACAATCGGGCATGCAGCGATCTGCAAAATTTGA